ACCCGACGAAGAACTTTGACGTTGTGGAGCGTTTCTGGCTGCGGGTATGTTTAGCTGGAGGCTTCTTGAGAGTTGGCTAACAGGCTTTCAAGATACAATTCGCACTGGATATCTGTTGGGCCACATCGGTTGCAACGGTGCAGGTGGCGTTTGCGAAATCCTACCTCCGCCTGTACGAGAAGAGAGTTTTTGCTCGCATCGCTTGCTATGCGTCTATGGCGCTCATCGCGATCTGGTACATCTGGTCGCTCGCGGGTTGGATCAGCATGTGCCATCCACCGGGGGAGTGCAAGCTGCAGAGCAAGAAGTCGTGCATCATCATTGGATCGCTGCACGTCTTCTTCAACAGTGTCATCCTCTTTGCCCCGATACCTGCCATAGCAGCAGCAGATCTCTCAGGCAAGAAGAAGGCGTGGGTGATGGTCTTGTTCCTCCTTGGATGCTTGTACGTGAAGCTAAGCGCTCGCTCCAAATAGCTCTTGCTGACACCACACAGTTGTACTATCCTAGCAGTCCTCCGTATCGACTGCGCGATCGACGTCTTCGGCAACGTCAATGATGATCCGATCGGTGCGTCGTGGTGGCGTATCTGCTTTTCCCCAATCGAGGTCGCTGTCGGTATCGTCTGCTGTTGCGTTCCCAACGTCCGTTCACTTCCTTCGTGGCGCCGAACTCCTCCACTCCCGACTGAGGATGGCGGTATCGGTCTCCGCCGGATGAAGTTCCGCACACAGAGCAACGGCTCGTCGACATCAAATCTCAACGCACCTCCTTCGCAATGGATGCCAGGCATCAAACCGCAGGCGGCTGCCTTCGTCACGCTGAACAATGAATCGGCTCCTTCGGAGAGACTGGGCTCATTGGGGCTGAACGAAATCAAAGTTACGAAAGAATATAACCTTGATCGGTTATGAGTGCGTTGTTGGGGCGCAGAGTCGAGATGGCTAGCCACAGCGATGCATGTTGGGGGTAGAGACGTTGATGCACGAAGCAGGCGCGTAGCACGGCGGCTTCTCGGAAAACGTGAGGTGCTTCATTGTACGACGTGGGAGGCAAGTGTCACTTCGGACATGAGCGCACTTGTTGTTGACGTCTATGTGGCACAGTCGTGCCGCTGCGGGAGGACGCGCATCTGACGTCACAGTCACATGACCGGAACACGTCAATTGAGAAAAAGCCGAACAGACCTGCAGCCTACATCAACATTTAAACCTACTAGATAGGTGACCTAGCGTCGATGTAGGCTCTAGACCTGTTCGGTTTTTTTCTTGTATGAGGTGGGAACGTGATCCACGGATGGATCCTTCGCACACACGACTCAAGCCACCAACACCATCCTCCTACAAACGCTCAAGCCATCATAGCCCCCAAACCCAATCTTTGCCTCGGCACGCTGCCTCCACTATACCAAGCTGGACTCGCCATGTGGTACTTGCCAAAAGATCCCGACTATGAAGAGCCGCCAGGAGGTATGCACCTGCAGAGAAGACCCGATGAGCCAGCTACTACACTCAACTCACACTCACTATCGGCTCAGCTCTCAAGCAGTGAGCTTCCGATGGAAGGGGCATTACGAAGAGAGATGACGTGAGGAAACGCAGCTGACGATGCTGTCCGTTAGAAAAGTAGCGATTACGGCGAGGCCCGTGAGGGCAATGGAGGGGTTTGGCAAGGCTTAAGAGAGCTTGAAGAGCAGGGCAGGAGTTAGATGATTAGTCGCAAGACAGGAGAGCTGGTGAGCATCAACCACCATGGCTTAGACAAGCGCAGAATATATGCGCGCATGCATAATGTAATGAGCATAGATGACCGACTTGCTTTACGATACACTGCGGGATCTGATGATGTTCTCGTGTTCCACCCAACGTACATATACTGTTAGTGCATGTGGCAAGCCATTCCACTTACACAAGATGCGAGGTGGCATATGGGAATGGGCGCATATCGGCGCACTTTTCTAATCGCACTAATTTCGCAACATCGTGTTGGCATTATTTGAGGTGTGTCTTCTCGAAAGTCAGAATGAGGCCATTTGCGCAACTTTGCTTGGCGTTCTTCCCTACTGAACAACAAGCTAATGCAAAGACAACAGGCTAAGGCAATGCTGTCACTGTAGTTCACTCCACATTGCTACCTGTCTTCGGTGCTGATAGGCTTGATGATTGACGGAGATTCGATGTCTCTCTTCCGAATCCTGCCGCTGTCACGACGCGCTCACCTTGTACAAAGAAAACACCGAACAGGCCTAGGGCCTACATTAGACCAACGATGAGCAAATATGGAGGCGTAGCGTCCATGTAAGCTCCAGGGTGTTCTATGTTTTCCTTGAATGGGGTGGCGCTGAGCACCTGAGACAACCACAACTGAGCTGACATCGCGCTAGCGCACGTTCTCTGTCAAATCAATCACTGAGTCGACATAACAATCCCATTGCACGGCTCCTATGTCGTTCGGTGAAACTGGCAGTCGGACTTGTCGCTCCTCAATTATTATCACGCTCACCATGCTCCGCAATCCCTATCTGATCTTTCTCAGTGCCACATTCTTTGATCTCATATTAGCCATCGCGCTCGTATCTCTCTTTGCGACTGCATATCCCGATCGCTTCCGCAGCATACTATGGAAAGAAGGCGGCACCAAAGGCTGGAATTCCGATCCTATCCAACGTGTATACGACTATGCGAACTATCGCAAATCACCACCCATACCATTGATTTGGGATGAAAGGTATCCTCCCACGTCCTCAATACAGCAGCCATTTGGAGGTCTAACACTTCAACCAGCTGTACATTATGCAACCTATGTATTGCCATCATAACCCTGTTCATATGGCTCGTCCGCTTCTCAATCATGTCTTTCAGCAAGCAAACTCTCGACTTCCACTCTACGATCACGGTCAACGCGTTGTACGATATCATACTGGCGGGGCTGTGGATGTATAGTGCCTCGATCCAAAACTCGGGCGACCTGTCAGATCCAGAGCATATCAGTCTCCGGCCTTGGTATCTCGAACGCGGGTGTGCGGAGGCATGGAAGGAAAACCTGTACGGTTGCGAGCTTATGAGATGGTCGTATGGACTGTCAATGTTTGCTGCGTAAGTCGATCTTGCGATTCCTCATGGCAGGTGAGCCCTGGATTGGAACAACCTCGCTGATAACGTTTCTTTCACAGGTTCTGGTTCTTTCTTCGCTGTTCGTCGACCTGCTTATACCGTGCGTACCTGCTCGGGAGAAAGCACGAGCTAGAGGATATGGTGTGCGCTTACGACAACCTCTTGTAGCATGGAACGATCTAGCCACATTTTTAGTGCTGATGGCCGCCTTGAGGGCACCAAAGCTATTGAAATCGGGAAGTGTGAATGAATGATATACTAGTGATGCCGGAACGACTCCGGTGAATGCCGATCATTCGCTATGAAAACTTATGCTCTCTGCACTCGGAAATGAGTTCGAACAAGTGCACTTTTCGCATCGCTCCCGCTGTCATCAACGGCACGCAGATTACCTGCGCGCGATCTGACTCGATCTTACCCCAAGTGTACGTGCAAGCCGAATTGACCAATCCCGCCGTGGTGTCATCATCCAGGTAGGACCTTGCTAGTCTAAACGTCGTGCGCCGCAGTTCACGCAAGCAAATGTCGCACAGGGCGATTATTACTCGAAATGAGCAACCACCAAGTCATCTACAAGCGAACAACTCGCCCTAGCCTGGCAACTGAAGGACGCCAGACGCTCCGTGGCCTGGGTGATTTGCGGGCTCATGTCGGAGCGGTCCGTCCGAAGTGGGGCCAGCCCGATCCAACCTCAACGCCAGCCCTTCCTTCCCTTCCTCTTCACCATCTCATTGCATACGTGAATAACTGGCGTCTTTGTTTGATTTTACACACATATCGAACACTGATATGTCATGTCTATATCATCACTCATGCTACTACAGCGTACATATCGACGTCCCAACTCGAACGCCCACCATGAAGGACGAGATAACACAATAGAGCTTTCAGTAGAAGATCCAAGATCATTGTACTCGGATAGCACTCGTTGTTTGTTTTCATATATGGGAAATGCTTTCTCATCTTCTAAATGCTATTGCGCCATTTTCCTCTGCTGTCCCCAGGCTTCTGGAGGCCCGTACACATGGCCTGTAAGCAACCACGTTCACATCACTAGAAAGAGCAGATCTGGTATTCCTTGCGGAGACATCGGTCAGTCAAGAAACGCATGCGGAGTTTCTCACAAACGTTTGTCGCATTCTGCGCTTTCGAGGCTCATTGCGTCACCGACAAACTATACTGATGGACAAACTCTTAGCGGTGAATACCCTCAACGTCGGTGTCACTCTGGATACTCGTACAGACCCAATAGATCTAATGCCGGTATTTCAGCATCACACTTTCATTCAGGAGCCAGAATGCTTAGTCGGAAGATGTGTGATTTGCGTTAGACGTAGTGAAAGGCCCTCAGCGCAAACGCGTCTGGGCCGATACCCGTCACGCGCTCCACCTTTTTTTGCGAACACATACCGCATAACCTGTGGGCTTTTTGATAGCGCTAATAGTTACTCGCACTTGCGTTTCTGTATTCCCCGCCTGCGCTCAAACTCTTCTCTTTCCAAATCTCCACAACCCCCGCTGCGTCCAGCAACAAGTCGTCAATCTCTCATAATCCCACCTTCACCAGTGATACTGCTAGACACGGCCTCTACTAGCGCACTCTGCGACACCTTTGCGCTTCAGCGACAATACCAGCGTCTGCTATTGTGCAGCGCTGCAACTGAGCGCCAAGGCGTAAACACTCCAATTCACTTCGAAGTCACAGCCTCGCGTTATACTATATAATCGCACGGTACAGTTCTACTTCTTTTTTAAACCATCCTTTCCACCTCAAGTGCAGAACTTCCGACTCACGGCACTGAACAGTCAACCTTTACCTCAACGATACCAAACGATCCACCTTTACCCGACGATACCAAGCAGCCCACCTTTACCCCAACATACACCATGAGCGACAGAGCCAGTCAAGCGAAAGAACGCCAGAACTATGCGCGGAGAACAGTTGATCTTGTGATTGAGTGTCGCAACAAGGTCCCCAGCGACTGTCCCGAGCAGACGCTCATCCTGTCAGACGAGGCTCTCCGTGCGTATGTCAGAGGACTCGAGAAGTCAACATGGGACAATAGGACGGATGTAACAGACTATCACCAAGTGTGTTCAGAGTTCATTGAGAGGCTTGAGATAATTCGTGACGATCTTCCAGCCGACTGGCGGGAGTTCTCAGAGCTACTAAGAGACGCTACAAAGTACCCGGAAGGCGTTACACCCAACACCACTCCCGCTCGTCCGCTGCCACCTCAGACGGACCTTGCCTTGGAGGCTGTCACTGTAGAACCCGTCCAGAAAGATAACGACATTCCCGAGGTTGTCGTCTCGCCACCCGACGATGCTTCCCCGTTGCAGCTTCCTGGTATAGCTATGAGCTTTCCAGCGGTATCAGCAGTAGTAAACCCCTTCGTCGGCCCCGATGGTGCGTCCATATTCAACAAGGTTGATACAGAGGCGAAGCCTGCAGACAAGCCTTTCCCGTCCATTGAAGCCAAGGTACCAGAAAGAAAGCTGGCACCTCTGAAAAAAGGGTCGCGCTCCAAGAAGCCTAATGGCGAGTTGGCGCCTGGCGGTCTTGATACAAGCCCAATTACTGCTGCCGCATCCGTGGAGAAGACAATGCCGCCAGTCACAGCACCGAAACTCGTCTTTGACTTTGGTGCTTCCTCAACATCGTTCACAGCTCCTTCAACACTAGAGCCTAGCTTATCGGCCGAGCCAAAGGAGAAGAGATTACGACACAATTCGACTCCCTCACCATCATCACCCAGTTTCATCAGCAAAGATGGTTCCCCTCCCAAGATCGTTTCGTCACTGGCGGTCTCTCTAGACTCCGTCCCATCGAAGTCCACATCCACTCAGACTGACCTGGCGCCCTCTCCCAACAAGGGTCAGCTGGAGATGATCTTGAGCATTCTGGAGGAAGATAGGACTGCGCGTATCAAGGCTGATACGAAAGTCGAGGAGCTGATGGGGGCCATGAGCCGTCTACAAGCCAAGGTTGATCGACTGGTGGAAGAGGCTGAAGCAAGCCGGGCGGGGACATTGGCATCAACCAAGTCAACCGCGAAATCTCAAGAGCCTGTGAAGCCTACAATGCGTGCATCTGGCTTCAAGTCCCGCGTCAAGGACGACCCCGAGGGCGACAAGGTCGTAGCGCCAAAGCGAAAGTCCACGAACGAGATCGTGAGGGACCTCAGGAAGGAGTATCCTCCTGAGACATCCCACGTCGTCTTTAAGCAGCTGAAGCACGGCTCCCTGCGCCTTTCTGGGCTTCGGAAAGCCCAGCCGGCCAACCTCCAGGCGCAGGTCGAGAAGGTGCTGTGCGCCTTCAAGGTGCCAGCATCTCAGCGAAAGAAGCATGCGGGAATGGTGATCGATCTGGCTAATTTTGGAAATGGCCTTGCTCGCGGCGACGAGCGCTATCTTTCTCTCGACACCAAAGCCAGGGAGGCAGCTACTGCATTTGCGGATGAAAACCTGGCCAACCACCTCTTCAACGACAAAAAGTGGTTGTGCTTCCGCTGCGTTTCTGAGCAGCATAGGCGCATGCAGGGGTACATGGGTGGACGTGTGGTCTTGTAGATAGCGAACTGTGGAGTTTACGTGGGCGGCGTGAGGCATCTAGAGGCACTAAATATAAGACCTGCAGAATGCAATCAATACCCTCACGTTGACATCAACCGTTGCAACGTAATGTCTCTTCCACAGTGCCATGACACGACATCACCAAGCCTTTCAAAATCCAACGCATGAAGCACAGTAGTAACACGAAACATCACCCAGCCAGTCAAAAGTCAACGTTTGAAACAAGTTAACAAGCACATTGAAGTAACTCTATATGGTATCTGCCCTGTCCATCCCATTCCTCCTTCCCTATCCTAGATATTTCATTCCAAACCCCATCATTACATCAATCGCGTCGCAACCAAATGGCAACATGAAAAAAGAGGTGCGGGGGTATTAGGTGCATGTGCATGCAAGCAAGCAAAGATAGTTGAACAACTTCTCAACAAGAGACACTAAACTACGTTGTGGCGCACGAAACGACGACAACAACAAACAAAAATGGTTGGGGAAAAAAGGCAAGTCGCTGCATATATGGGTATATCCTCATCCCATCCCGCTGGAAACACTGTTGTATACGTAAGGAGAAAGGAAACGGTAAAGGAAAAACAAGTGGCAAGCGCTGATGAAGCGTCTTGTGTGTGGGTACTATCTCCGTTGAGGTGTCGTGTAGCTCGCTTCGTCGAGGGGTGCAGGGCGGAGCCAGGACCCAGGGACGAACAGCGAGGTTCGGAGTCACCTGTTGCGGTGCTTTATTTGTTTGTTTCTAAGGAGAGTGTGCGTGGTCGGGCCAGCCGAGGGTGCAAAAGGTGGTATTATGTGCGTGTATGCGCGGTGGAGAGAGTGCTGAATCAGAGTTATCCCCAGTTAGAATCGTCGCCCCAGGTTCCGCCCATATCGCGGTGCGAGACGATGCTGTGCTGGGAGATGTTGCTTGGGCGCCGTCTCATGATGAGACGGGAGAAGCGGTTTTGGTGCTCGTCTTTGGGTGGTGGCGGCGGTGGCTGTTCGAGTTGAACGCCGCGGTGGCTCGAGTTGTTCGAAATATTAATTAGTCTGGGGACATAGCGACGAGAGGTTGGCGTGCTGGGCGCCTGTTGCTGTTGTTGTTGTTGGTGCTGCTGCTGTTGCTGCTGCAAGAAGTTTGGTGGGAGGCTTTGGCGGGGGTAGTGCGCAAAGTTGGAGTACTGCGATGTGGGTACAGAGACCATCTCCTTGGGTTGCTGGTAATCCATGTATGGCGCTGGCTGCTGGTAGCTCAGTAGATCGGGCGTCGACGCGAAGCCGGCGTTTGGCCAACTTTGCTGCTGTGGTTGGAAGCTCTGCGCCATCGGTTGCGAAAAGTCCGTTGGCATCGACGTCATGGTGGTATCGAAAGCACCGAAGCCACCCATGGCGGTTGCCGCGCTCATGCTGTGGTGCATGTCCTGGCTGACCGGCCATTGTGATTGTTGCATATCTTGATGATGCATCTGTGGGGGCTCCACAGAGTCAATGTCCATCATCATGTGCTCAGACGGCAGACCGTGCGAGCTGTGGAGCCTGTTATCGGACGGTAGGCCGTGGGAGCTATGCAATCTGTTGTCCGTCATGAAGTCATTCGACTCCAACTTGAACTCCACGATTTCGCCTTGGCTGTTGTCGAGGGACTCCGGAGCTTCGGGCGTGAGTTCAGTCGTGGGTTCGACGACGTCCTTAACCTCGATTTCGGCCAAGTCGTAGGTGTCCTGCACCAACTTCTCAATGTCGAAAACGCGTGTATCCCATTTGGTCTCGAGCTTATACCGTAAGCGGTTGCACTTCTTGGACTCCCACGCCAGCGACGGCCAGTTCGATTCGTCGCCATGGCGATCGAGCATCATTTGGTTCCATGCGCTGGAGAGTTCGGGTTGCTTCAGCAGACCGAGGATGACGTTGGTGAAGTTCCACTTGGATCCGCCCTTCTCTTCAAAGTGAAGAGCGATGTGTTCGCATCTTTCCTCCCAGGTGGTTAGAAGAGAAGCGCAGAAACCACAGCCCCAGGCGTCCTTGTCGTGCATGACGATCTCGTACTTCTTGACGCATGGCGATGCTTTCCTGCTCGTGGGTTGGCCGCTTTCCCTCGGTTGCTTGCAGTGTTCACAGCCCTGTGAGATGTTAGCCTTGAATCTAGATGAAGGATAGTTCTGACGTACGTGTAGCTTGGTGTGATGCTCACGGAAGCGCTTGCCAGCATGGAAGATCTGCTCGCAGTCGGGACATCTCCAGGTAAGTCGCTGCTCGTGGAACTCCTCCTCGTGCGACTTCCAGTATGGCTTCGACTTGAGAGCCTTGTCGCAAAATGTGCAGGCAAAGTTCTTGGGCGCGGGCGTCGACGTGGTGGAGATTGTGGAGAGACGAGATGATGCGGTCGACAGGCGCGAGGATGCGGCACTGTAGTGTGTAAAGGACGAGTCGGTAGACGCGATGGACGAGCGCGGGTCCGAGAGCATGCTGGGTACTCTGCTGGATGGTACACTCAGGTATGATGACGCGCGGCTTCCGACGGTCGACATGGACGATCGGTCGGCGCCCGACCGACGCATACCATCTGGATACGCGTGAGCATACAACGCGCCGCCAGGGCTGAACGTTGACTGACCTCCATTGCGCGCAACGGAAAGTAGCTGGAGGATCTGCTGGTCATCAAGATGCTTCAGCGCATTGACATGGTCAAAGAGCTGAGGTGCCAACTGGTTCTGGCCAGAGTGACGGGGGGAAGAAGTGACACTCTCGGTCACGCTGCTCAAGGGCGTGGAGCTTTGTAGACTGCGCCGCGCGCGCTTGAACGAGTTGCTCTGCTGAGGGGTGCTGAATTGGTAGAGTTGAGCGTCGTCGGCCTCCATGTTATCTCGATGTATGCGCAATCGCCAGTATCATGCCGGAGATTGGTGGTTCACGGTCCGTCTTGGGCGGGCAGAGCTGTGGTTACTATGTAGGGAGGGCGAGTGCGCGCGAAATGGAAGCGTTCGAGAAGCTTTTGACGGTATACGGATGGGTATAAGCTCAGTTCTTAGGCCGCCAGGAAGACATTGATCGTCCAATTTCCGGGCGGAGACGGACGGCTCTTGTTTAGAAGAGCAACATCCGTGGTCTGTTTCACGGGTTTCAAGAGGGCACTAAGAGGCTGCCTTGGCATGCAGGCACCCAGGCATGCATGCCTCCACACCTGTCTGGTACTAGAGCAAGTGACTATTGCACGGAGAGTTTCCGGCGCTGCAGCAACTCCCTCTAGTGATCAATATTGTCCATGGTGATCTCTCCTTCCGCGATCTCAAATTCTGAACGCGTCGAGCCTCACGATGCTCTAAGGGAGATCGCCGCGCCGGCGCTGCAGGGACCCCCAGCGCTACTAACCTAGGGCCGCATTCTCAGGGGTAATTCAGCAGACCACATGAAACGTGCATCTGCTCGCCATCTGAAAGCTGTCGTACCGCTCCACCTCACTGTCGAACGCGTAAAAGGTATCTGGAGCCGTCGCTTGCATCAGACGTGACATAATCCCAACTCCTCACCCCCACCATCTACGATCCATCGCGCTGTAAGAGAAGTTCGCACTCGGCCATTGGCCCGAAATTCGTCGCAGTATGCGTTCCTGCAAAAGTGCCGTTCTGGTGGCAGTGCTCAAAGAAGTAGGGTGGCCCTGTAAGACACATCGAACAACCAACACTAAAAAGCCAGCCTGAGGCGTTTCGCAGTCAGTTCCGTGAGCAACAACAGGTACTATCGCGATGGCCGCATCGGTAGTTCCGTTGCTACAGCACATCGCGTTCGTTTCGGCGGAAAGCCACCAATGGCGCGTTACGCGTGGTAGCGTGTTAGGCGCTTGTTGCTCACGTCTGTCGTCATCTTTCAGACGCATGTGGACGCGAGATAAGGCAAGGAGTTCTGCAGATCCCGCATAACGTCGAATGATCGCTCCAGCCATGCTCGCGAGCAGTCAAAGTGAAAGTGGCCCTTGCAAGATCTGCTTGGCTGGCAACGGTCTTTCTCTGGGGTACGCGTTGCCGACGAAGGAACGGGTGCTATTTTTGGCGGAGCACCATGGTCCGATCACAACAGGTAAGACGCCTGTAAAACGTCGACCTTCCCTCCTGCTATGACCACCACCTTGCATAAGTCGAAACGCGCCCGCTGTAGAGAGGACTGGCCACCAGTATGATCATCGTGAGTATGAGCTGACCAAGCGGGTGTTCTGCGGCGCAGCTGCCTGTGCGTGCCCAAGGTATCCATCGAGGCTGTGTGCCAGAGTTCATGCAAAACAACTCCTACACCCCGTGAACTTACACCTGCATCAAATTCGAAATCCAGGAGGCTAAGAACCTAGTTGCACGTCTGATTCACGCGCAGAGTCCTTTGTAAGCGACGATGATTCGGCTTCCATGAAACGTGATCAGGCCTCCATCGTGTTTACGCCAAATCGCAGCCTCAACAAAGGAGATAGTCAAATTGCATGGAAGTCTGCATTCATGCTGATCGTGTGTTATGTGGCGGAGCAAACTCCTGCAGTGGGTCGGCTACTGCTTGGTCAGAGAAGAGGCATAGGGCTGAGGCATTCGCACTCGTATGGACATATGATGTCGACGTGCCCAATCAGTCCGCGACACGCCGTCCCGTTGGTTTCTTGCTAACAGAGACGGACTATCACGGTTAGGACAGCGCGATCGAAATCTTGGCTAAATGGATAAACAGAAGTGGTCGGGATGTGGTGGTATCGAATCAAGAAATTCATCTCTTTCGGAGCGCAACCCATGTATCTTGCTCACACAACACACGCGACGACAGTGTCATGTGGGATGGTGGAGGACTTTTTGGCCGAGAACTCAGCGAGGCTTGTGAGTGGCGGGTCACGCGGATAAAGGAAAGCGAGCTGTCTGAAATGAAGCATGTCCTGCTGGTATTCCGGTAGAAGTCGCCAACTGCGACGTTGTCTCAGACGATGCGATGTATCGTGATGTGGAGCGATCTGGTGGTGGAGAGAAAAAGGAATGGTGGCACTT